AGGAATGCCTAAGTCACAGGGAAGCTGGACCAGAGGACTTGCACCTCCACTAGCTTTAACAAGTCTCTGTAGCTGATTAGTGTTTTCTCGAAAAAATGTTAAGATTCACCATGCTGAAAGAAAAAATGACTACTTACCTCTGATGACTAGAACAACAGCAGGGGAAGCAAAGCAACCGAGCGAACCCACGGAGTTACACAGCAGATAAGCTGTGCGGCCGGGGGCTGGCACAGAGTCCACTTGCCCCACCCCCGGCTAGAGTGGTCACATGGGCCCAGGGACAGCATATTCACGGCATGTCTACGACTAGGGCCAGAGACACTGGGAGAACTGCGGACAGATCTGGGTGGACAGACATACCCACGCCCACAATGACAGTGGAGGCGCTTTCTAAAACCCTAGAAGACCACAATCTACTCGCATGGCCTAAAATTAGTAAAAATGAAATTCCACCTGAAAATGCCCCCTTGAGGCAGCCCACCCCGGGGGGAGGACACCTGGAAGTCTGTGCGGCCTGAGCAGAGCGGACAACTAAAGCTGGGACCAGTCTCACACCACACACACCACGTTCACACTATACACACACCACTCTTGTTCAAACCATCCCCACACGTCCACACCATGCACATACCGTGCCACATTCACACCACACACACCCCACATGCCATGTTCACATCACTCCCCACATTCATACCAAGCACACACTATGCACCATGTTCACACCATGCACACATCACACACCTTGTCCACACCATGCACCACGTTCACACCACTCCCCACGTTCACACCATGCACACACTACACACATTCACATGACTCCCCACATTCACACCATGCACACACCATGCACCATGTTGACACCATGCACCGCGTTCACACCACTCCCCACATTCACACCATGTATACATCACACACAATGTCCACACCATGCACGTTCACAAGTCTCCACATTCACACCATGCACCACATTCACACCACATACTACACACCACGTTCACACTCCCCACATTCACCACACACACACCATGCTCACATCATGCACTATGTTCACACCACTCCCCACGTTCACACCATGCACACATCATGTACCACATTCATGTTATGCACACACCATGCACCATGCTCACACCATTCTGTGTTCACACCATGCACACACCACTCTCCATGTTCACACCACTCCGTGTTGACACCATGTACATACTATGCACACACCATGCACCATGCTCACACCACTCTGTGTTCACATCATGCACACACCACATACCACATTCACATTATGCACATACACATTCATACCACTCCCCACATTCACATCATGCACACACCACTTCCCATGTTCAGATCATGCACACATCACCACATTCATACCATGTATCATCATGCACAAGTCCAGCCTCTGGAATATCGGTCTTCGAAACACCAGCATTTCACCCTATTCCCAAACGCCAACTACTGCTACTTCTGTACCTAAGGTGGGTGCTGCGTGGAATCTGAAGAACCAGCACTGCCGCAGGGCCTGGAGCTTACCCAAGTGGTGTGCATCCCTCTCAGAGGTGTTGGACAGGGAGCTGAGGTTGGATGAGGGCCGGGAGCCACCACGCTCAGTCTGTGCCTCGTGCAGGTCTTGCAGCAGCTTCGTTGTCTCATCCAGACCCAGATGGCCCTCATCGTGGTCCAGCTCCTTCTTCACCTTCCCTGTGCAGACATACAACACCATCATGATGGGATGGAAAGACAACAACACAGAGGTCAAGCCGGGTAGGACACACCGCTGGTGTGGGTGCTCCGGAGGCCAGCGCCTCCTTCTCTGTGTTACGTTTCCTCTCTCATGCATGAACACTGCCAGGATGAGACCACTCCAGACGTCAAGAGGGTGAGCCACACGGTCTTGGGAGAGGGAGACGAGAGGCACGGATGGGGGGCGGGGCACACTGAGCCTTAGCCCCTGTCCAGACAATACCGAGCATGGGGCATCAAAGACGGAGCTACAGCCAGCTCTGCCCTCCTGTCATGAACAAGGACACTGAGGACAGACATTGGACACAGTGCCGAGTGTGTCCTCATGGCCACCCAGGGGCAGGTCCCATGGCACAGGGCATCCGGTGCAAACCAGGGAGAGGAGCTGCGTGGAGAGCTTTAGACCCACACACGCTCCCCCATCTGTGTGTGAGAAGCGCTCCAAGCCCAGAAAGAGACAACCACATCAGGTGCGCATGCAGTGTCCCAGCAGACAGGGCCTCAGTAAACCCTCAGGAGGGTGCAGCCACACGGTGGGACACATGCCTCAGGGCCTGGTGCTCACTCAGGTGGTGTGGGTCCCTCCTGGAGGGACTAAGTGGCTCTGGGTCCACCCACACACTGCACCACCAGCCGTGACAGGCCCCAGCGGCCCAGGTCACCTGAGCACCTGTGGACAAAGTCACTAGGACTCAAGAAGCGCAACCACACCTGGCACCTGGCAGTGCAGACGCATGGTGCCAGCAGCCAGTAAACATCACCAGTCATGCAAAGAAGCAGGGAAGGTGGCCAAACCGGGAAGCACCTAGTGAGAGATGAAGGACTCGCAGACAAGGACATGCACGCAGCAAAGCAGTGGGCTCTGTGTACTCTGAGGGCTGGGGGTGCTGGCACATGGGGGACAGTATTCAGAGAGAGACCAGTGTTTGAAATGAGCCACTCCAGGGGCTGATTAGAGCGAAGGTTAGCGCCCAGGACAGGGTGACAGATGCTCAAGCAGAGGGGAGCAGAGGGTCCAATATGTGTGCAAGTGGAGCCCAGGAAAAGGCTGGGTTGCAGCCAAGAAACCTGCAGAGCTGATAAAAGCTATAAACCACAGATCCGAGCGTAACAAAACCCCAGAAAAAATACAAAGAAACCAGACCAGGGCATATCATCATCAAACTACTGAAAACTAGCAGTACAGAGAGAACCTTACAAATAGCCAGAGAGTATCACAGGTATGCAGAGAAAGCTCACACAGTAGCCTCCTGCTGCCTCAGAAAGGCCTGCCAGAATGGGGACCCCCAGCTAGCGTCTAGTATTCCAGGGGGTCCCTCTGCTCCATGAGGACTGTGGCTCCCTGTGCTTAGACGGTACAAACAGCGTGGTTTATGTTGAACACCCGTTCTCCTCTGGGTCTGGAGGAGGTGCCAACTGACCAGCCCCCAGTAAAAACTCTGGGTGCTGGGCCTCTAATAGGCTTCCCTGGTGGACGACACTTCACATGCATTGTCACGCTTGTTGCTGGGGGAATGAAGCACATCCCGTGTCACCCCACCGAGAGAGGACTCTGGAAACTGCTGCCTGGTTTCTCTGCTCTCCCCACACACCTTTCCCCTGGGATGATTTTGCTCTGTCTTTTCACTGTGATAAACCATAGGGAATATAACTATCTGCCAAGTTCTGGGAGTCCTCCTGGTGACTGATCAAACACGGGGGTGGTCTTCAGGACCACTGACACAATTGAGAAAGAGAGAAGACAAACAGCAAGATGGCAGACTTGAACCCAACCATATCAATGACTGCACTACACACAAACGGTCTCAGGCTCCAACCAAAAGGCAGGAGCTCCTGAGGGCAGTGAGCACCCAGGCTACCAGCGATGAGCGACATGGGCCACTTCTTTCTGGTCAAGCCCGGTCCTGTGCCCGGGGAGGGTGGTGTCCATGTGAGAAGCCACACAGACACGCATTGCTGAGACTTACCCAGAGAGCTAAGCATAGAGATATCAAGAGAGACGTCAGAATACGGCTTCATGGACATGAAATCCAGAACGGAGCCGCCACCGTCTCCAAGCGAGTCTCCAACCTGCTAGGACATGAGGTGGAGGGACACAAATGAACGCACTATTAATGGGGCACATGGTGTTGGCTGCTGATGTCATCTTACTCATGTGCCGAGTCACGGCCTCATGCACGGCACCTCCCCACAGGCCACACAGCCTCCTCCTCAGCCCTCTAGTGAGTGGACAAGACAGAGACGCCACCTGGCTTATGCCGTGGCCCACCACCACTGGTCTGAGCGCACAGATGGGTGTGCAAATTCACTCAGACCAGCAACGTCAACCAGACAGATAAAGGCCACTGGCTCTTGGGGAGGGGCCTTCCAAAAGGCGCTGAGGAAAACGGGAGACACTGCAGAGGGTGGAGATACATGGATCTGATGGCTTGTGAATGTTTCTCAGGGACTTCATCTAACAAACCCTGGGGTAGGTTCCAAACTAATCTCTTCTCCTCCACGGAGCATCCTGAGTGCAGCTGAGCCCTCATGGCCGCCCCCTGCTGACTTCTGCAATGCAGCCAGCCCACGCCACACATGAAACACCCAGTGAGCCCCCGCCCACCCACCTTCGGTCCTGCCCATGGCTCAACGACTCACCCAGTGAACCCCCCACCTTCCCACCCTGCAGTCCCGCCCACGGCTCCCATAACTTGCCCAGGGAACCACCCCAACGCCCTCCCACCCTGCAGGCCCGCCCACGGCTCCCATAACTTGCCCAGGGAACCACCCCAACGCCCTCCCACCCTGCAGTCCCGCCCACGGCTCCCATAACTTGCCCAGGGAACCACCCCAACGCCCTCCCACCCTGCAGTCCGGCCCACAGCTCCCATAACTCACCCAGGGAACCCCCGCTCTCCTACCCCACGGTCCCACCCACGGCTCCCGTGACTCATCCAGTGAGCACCCCACCTCCTGGGTCCCACCCACAGCTCCCATAGTGCCCGCTCCATCAGAGCTTCTCTCTCCACCACCTGCCCACGCATGTGCCACTGACCCTGGACGTTCTCTGCATGTCGGGCCCGCCGCGTGGCACCTCCTACACCTGCTTCTTTGCAGACACAGCCACGGTTCCAGACTGTGCCCAGATGTTCCCCCATTACCTCGATCTCCTCCCACCTCGATTCCTTGCTCTTAAAAACCAAGACTTTAGGAGTAACACGTAGACATGTAGGTGTTGGTTTTTAATAAATTGAGAGATCATTTCTAGTGTTCTCAGGGAGGGATTCCACCTAAGACCCTCCAAATTCTCCTGCCAAACACGTACTACCTTCCTGGCACTGGACGTTAACTGGGGGCCAGGCCTACAGCACGGCACTTGTCAGAGAAGGGGCAACGAGACCAAGCCACAAGTCGATTTCTTCAGGCTTAGCTCTGCAGTTGACCCAGCGAGACACTGCTCATCGGGACCCCCAGCAGCTGACCCAGCGAGACATCAGGGTCCCCTGGAAGGTGACCCAGCGAGATACTGCTCGTTGGGGCCTCCTGGCAGCTGACCCAGCGAGACACCGCTCATCGGGGCCCCGTGCAACGTGGAGGAGCACACAGACCCTCGGGACTAGACCTGAGCAAAGTGCATCCTGTCTCAACAGGGCGCTTGTCCGTACCTGGAGGGCGTGCGGGCGAGTGGGCTGGGGCCCTGCTGGTGCTCACGGCTGCCCCCCACGGCACACCCC